AGAACAAGAGAATTTAAGAACCATGAACCATTGTAAGAAAAGTAATCTTGCGCATTAAAAATAATTTTTATTTCAATAAAAAATATTATGTTACTCGATTAACTGTAAACACTTAAAAAACAGTACATTTTAATTTACCGTAATTATTTATATTCAAAAACTTTCAATGAAGCAAATTTATTAAACAGCATTTAAAAATTGGATTTCACTGGAACACTTCTTTTGGGGGTTTTATGCTGTTATTACATGTTGAATATTATTTCACCTAGATTAAGAAAAAGAAACGCGTAACATGTAAAAATTTCTTATTTAGAAAAATTATCAAATTTAAGTCATTTTTTTCACATCGAAATGTATTATTATCCCTATACGAATTCTATATTCTGACAACACAGAAATAGTAGACACATAACTTCTAGGAGATATTTCTTATAAACCTCGTGTGTTGGCGATCAAGTAGAAAAAAATGCTTAATTATGGAGCTACGTTTTGAATATTTTTTTCCCTTATTAAATAAGTTCTTTTTTTTTTTTTTTTTTTTTTTTTTTTTAAATTTTGTGTCTTAACTTTTATTTTCAAAAAACGTGCACGAAGTTTTATATAACAAAAGTTAGTATAAGAGAAGTGAGACAAATTAAATTATATGTACATTCAGTCACTATTAAAAACTAATTCTGTCTAAAAGCTGTACATTAAGAAAGCGTCATTCATCCAATTCTTAAGCTTTTCATGTAGGCACAAGGCTCACCAGCGACCAAGTGATAAAAAAGCTGAACACTGGTAGTTCATTCCAGGGTTCAAATCTCGGTGGAAAAGCTTACTGCATGGGCGCTTTCGTGGTTTTCCCCTTGCGTAACATGTATACGAGCGAATTTCCTTTAAAACGTCCTCCACGAAGGCATGCCTTTCCTTGGCTTAGTGCCATTTCGTCCGTTTTCTTTTCATGCCGCGTTCGAAACAGTGTCGTTTGTCCGCGGCCTGTCGATCTTATTCTGTCTTTCCCGTTTCATTCGTTGTTCAAAAAGTCACTTTTTGATTAAAAAAAGATATATTCAGACGAAATGACCCTTACTACTTTGACCTGACTTAGCCCTTGAGTTCTAATATTTATTAAACATTTTCTTTAAATAAATTTATTCCGAGCAGAATAATGAATTTCAGACATGTTCAAGAGGCGTGTTTTTGAATCTAATTCCATTTTTGTCATTATAGTGTCCATTGTTTAATTTCACATACTTCTAAAGAAATAGAACCACTGTTCCTCTGCTTTGACAGAAAATCAAAATGTAGCAAGTGTATAACGAAGATGTACATGTTTTACTAAAAATATAGTGAGCCCTCTATAAACGCAACCGTTCACGGTTTTAAAGGATTTTGGTTGTACATATGGTGGTCTTAGAAATATAATATTCACTGGCAATGTTTGTTTATCTTCACAAAAAGTACAGGTCTCTTTCAAAAGGCGACGTCTTAGAAATGTCTTCAACAGATATAATTCACTATAATTACTATTTTCTAATGTGTGTGTGTGATTATGGCAAAGCCTCGAAGACTATCTGCCTAAGGGGAAGAATGCCTTCGTGGAGGGCTTTCTAAGGGAAACTGGCTCGTATACACGTTACACATGGGGAAAACCACGAAAACATCCATGCAGCCAGCCCGTTCGCGGGATTCGAACCTCGGACCGAACTACCAGTGTTCAGCGACTTAACCGCTCGGCCGCTGGTGGGCTTATTTTATAATGGATAATGGAATTAATTTAATCTAATGTCAGCTACAAAACGGTTATTTACAAAAGGGAGATTTAAAAGCACTGTAACTGTAATTAAGAGCACAGTAATTTTTCTTTCACAATCAGCTGTTAGATAAGATTAGCTGCTTTCTGTTTATTTTTCACGTTATATAACAGATATTCATACGTCTTGAACAAATATACAGCAAATGCAAGACAAATTATTAAAATATTACAATTTGAAACATTAATACTAATTTTCTATTACTATACATAATACTATTAATGAATGATGAATTTATATAATATGTATACTTAGAATCTAAAAACGATGAATTTTGAATCTGATGACTCTATAAATATATATTTATGTAGTTACAAAATTTTATTACATGTTATTATATGCATAGTTCTTTGTAATCTTCACAATCTCTAATAAAATGCTTCATATTTATTACTATATTTTGAGGTGATTGTACTTAAATTTGTAGAGATGTTGACTTCTAAGAGTTGTTCCATCCCCCCCCAAAAAAAAAATAAATAAATAAAATGAAAATTAAAAACACTATTCCAAATTGCTGTAGTTGAAAGATTAAGAGGTTATATTTGGAATTCATTTTCTGCCAGGGTGTCAGCTGATAGTTTTAATTTATTCAGAAATCTAAAAGAAAATATCTCTAGGAAATCGCCAAATTATAATTGTTACATTCAAAAAAGCTTTCAATGAGAAATATATTTAAACTTAGATAATAAGCTCAGTGTAAAGTAAAGAATAAAATATCTCTTAACCAAGTTTTCATTGTGCTTAACTGTTTTAATATTCCTACACTAAAAAGGAACTAAAAGGAACTAAAGGAAAAACGAAGAAGAAATAAAATAAAATTCAACTGTTTTTAATTAAAAAGTTAATAGTTTTAATAATGAAACAGAATTATATTTAATATCAGCCATATTACCGTAAAAATAGCATGTGAGAAACTCCACAATGATATTTTTCATTTTCACATACACATACAAAAGTTAAATAAGTAAATAAATAATAAAATGAAATTTCAGATTTATCATCGAAACGTTATAGCTAATCACTTAATCAGAGAGTAGAAAGTTTGCTTTCAACATAATAAATTAAATAAACAGACAGACAAATATTTGTCTCAAATATATGTATACAAACAGACATATGTGTGAGACGTTAAAATTCAGATCTGAATAACTCCATTTATTACAATTAATATTATAAATACATGGTATAGTAATAAAAAACCATATGTCCATTTCGATTATGTGCGCTTTTAAATCAGTATGGGCTTTTATCAGCGTGGGCTTATATCAACGTGGGCTTTTATCAGTGCGAGCTTTTATCAATGTGCGCTTTCATCGTTGTGGGTGTTTGTCGCGTGGGCAATTATCATAGTGGGCTTTTTTTTTTTTTTGTGGGTTTTGATGCATTCTTTTAAATATCGTCGATAAAAATTAATAAGACCTCACAACGTTCTGAGTTCATGAACGGTTGTTGGAAGTTTGTAATTAACAATAGTTTGGACTTTGTTAGGTAAATTTCTGTATAAGTTCAAGCCACAATACATTCATACCTTCGTGCAGATTCTCCATTATTGATTTCTTTAAAGCGATAATATTTGGTGACAACAATTTGAAAAGTAAATTACTATGAGTCAATGCAAAATCCATTTCGAGACATTCCATTCGGGACAAAAGTCCGTTTGGGGCTTATTATTATGAAAAGTTTTGTTAAAAGAAGTCAGAATCTCAATCCACTGACAACACCCGATTGATATCTGAAATAACTTAGCATGCATATTAAGCAACTATAGATATACAAATGTATGTGATTGATTTTGTAGGAAACGGTGCAATGCACGCATACATACAATTATTAGATATTTACTCTTGAGGACGTGCAGCACGTGTAACTTTCTTTCTTTTTAATCTGAATTTGCTTCAAGTTGTTTCTAAAATTCGCTTTTAAACATATATTAACATTTTTCTTATTTTAAGCAGATACTTGATTTTTTTCATCAATATTCTCATCATTTTTAATACAACATAGATTGGGGTTACCACATTCTGAGGAAAAGAAGTCAGGGATGCTCCAAACAAAATTTTAACCAGTTTTATCGTTCGGAAAGGAAAATTTTGCCAGAAATTTAATTTCCGAAGGATATGGTTAGAGCACGATAATAATAAATGAAAAGTAGTCATGCATAAACTACCGGCTGCTATCAGAAAGTTATTATTTTGTAAACCTACATTGCAGTAAGAATACAGAGGCTGTTCACACATTTTTTAGACGATATATATTGTATTCACAAAACTAAGGGGACTCATCGGGAGATTTAGTAGGGATATCAGCTAAGAGTATGGCCTTGATACCAGTTTTTTGTTCCATTTCTTTTAGGAAATTTACAGTGGATTTTGTAGTGTGACTGCTAGCTTTGTCCTGATGGAGTCTCACACATGGATGGCACTGTGGGTAAAGCGATGGTATTTCATTCAGAAAAATTGGCGATAAAATCTGTTCCTGATAGTATTTGGAGTTAATCTTGACATTTGTTTTGCACTCTCTTTATTTTTAACTTGCCATTATAAGAAAAACCAGCAACAATCATGAATCCCTTAGGAAAAACTTTCTTTCGATTCTTTGAACCATGTACTTAAATTTTTTCTCCCCTTTTATGATAATAAATGGCTTTTTTTTTGTTACAATCATTTAGATAACCCATGGTTCATCTATTGTTATAAATATTTTCCATTTTTCTTGGGATACGAGTTTCTCATATAGAATTCTGCAGCGTGTCCTGCATTGAACGATATGCTTTGGAAGAAGACGATGCACATTGCGTTTTCTTGCTTTCTTAAGGTTTAAATCAATGTTTATCATTTTGTTTACAGTGGACACCGGGCATTTTAATGATTTTGCAACTGTCCTTTGACTAGGGGGATTTTCTTGTAATATTAAACAACGTACCTTTGCAATAGTCGAAGATGTCCGTTTTTTCTTTGGATACTTGTTTGGAATTTTTGTCCCACTTGTGGCTCCAATTTGAAGCTTTTTTCCTTTATTGTTGATGATATTACCTATCGACGCTTTAGATATCACTAAACAATGACTCTCACATCGTTTTTGGATAACGGAGTATGCATTATTGTCGTCGGAAAGAGCGTCAATGTAACCTTCGAACCACTGCTTTGTTAAATTCGCCATTTTGAATAAAAACAAAACTTTCAAGCCACAGACGATAATTTTGACTTTTAAAAACATAGTACAAATGAAATTACTTCTTTTGCAGCAAACGATTTTTTATTACCGCTTACCAAAATCGTCTAAAAAATGTGCGAACAGCCTCTGTACATAGTGATATTAAAATAACAATATGCGATAGTAGCTGAGTCGAACACGTTGCACAGAGCGCCATGAATCCGGCTCATTTACCATATAAAGAAGCCTGAGGGACACCTCACAATCATGAATCTTGATGGCATTTCCCAGGAGGGACATCGGAGGAACAAAGAAAAAGGGGGGCCAGGATTTCGAAAGATCCAACACATGAGCAGTAGATAAGGCTACAATGAGTTGGAGCATAAAATAACAGATGTAAGGTGAAATCGCATGTTTGGAAAGTTTTCTAAGTGTGAGAACAATTGCGACGTCCGGTTAGCTTAACAAGAATCTACAGAAAAAAATGGTTCAGATAATAAATGTAAGGGAAAATAAAATGGATAAAATGCTGTTACAAAAATGCAGATACGAAATTGAATAGAGTGAAAAAATAACCAAAGAAATATAGTTTAGCAATTACAATAAAGGAAGGAGAAAATTATGCGAATATTTTTAAAACTTTCAGAAACTAGCGCTAAAACACCTAGTTGGGAAAATACGCGAGCCCAAATAGGGTATTTTTCTCATATGAGGTTTCCTTTGCTTAATTTTTTAAGTTAAGGTTTTGCATTTTCCCACCTTCTACCTGTTTTCGAGTAGTAACCTAGATTGTATTACTTATAATAATTTATACTCCTGTTGATATATATTTCTATTTATTCTTTCCAGATTTAAGTTTTCTTTACCTAGCAACATTATATTCTTTTCAGGTGCTTTTGTTTGTTACTACCATTTCCAGTTTCTTATATTTCATTTACATTTAACGTGTAATTTTAGATTTAATTTATTGCTCATTTATATAGGTAAATTCAACCATGGATCGGTTATCTGGAAAGACAAAACCTAAAGAAGTTGCACCAAATCTGTTAAAATATATGGCAATGGTAAGTACCATTTTTCATAATTTTCCCTCCAACATGACTCAAGTTTTCCTCATAATCAACCTAGCCTCTTATTATTTTCACTGAAGAAATTCTTCCATAATTGGCATATTTAATATTTTATATAATCTGATTATTCCTATTCTTACTTAAAAATAAATTTTATGTGTGAAAATATTTGCTCTCATTTATGAGTCGAAACGAATACAGACAAAATGACAAAACGAGTTTTTTGGAATTATGGATCATCTTTGCCAAACTTACGGATTTCTCTTTGAAATTATGTTACAATTTTTATTTGAATTATGTTCATAACAGCAACTTTGTTTATCAGCAGCAGACAGATTGAACATAAAAAAAAATAATAATATCTCATGTTTTTCAAATGGCAACAGACTAGAATGAAAAGTAAAAGAAGGCGTTAAAGTGAAAGAAATCAAAATCGCATTTCGAGACTAAAATTCCGTTAGGGTTAAAAATCACGATCCCTTCTTACGAATGAATATCGAGTTGAATTATAAATATAACTACATCCAATTGACTTTTCGTCCAGGCAAAACGACTACAGCCCTCACATTAACTTAGACTTGTACCTAATAATAGTCGATTCATTATTTAAAGTAGGTCAAAGCCATGAGGATTATATGCCTGACAGGAGGGATGCCTTCATTTAAAGCTTTCTGAAGCAAATTTGTTCACCATTTTGTTCTTATCATTTCTTCATTTAAAGCCAGTTTGTTTGCCTGGGATCCAACCCAAACTTCCTCGAATTCAGTGGTCTTAATCACTCGGCCAAGAATGAGGTGCACCTGATAATGAAAAGAAAACAATTCTGAAAAAATAATTTTTAGTCTTAATGCATAAATTTTAATACCTAAAATATATTTCATATTTCATTTCTGAGGGGGGAATTTAATTAAATTATTTGTTTTTCTGTTATAATATTTGTGAGTTACAAACGAAAAAGTTTTTCTGTTATAATATTTGAGTGACAAACAAAATTTCTGTGGTCCTTCGTGTGAAATGATTCGATAACTTGAAGACAGACAGAAATGGTATTTTTTTAATTGGAACTGTCTGGTATGTTACAGCCCGATTTAAATTATATTTACTTTTCATTCGTTTTTAAAGTACATTAACCATATAAGTTTTTATTTTAATTTAATTATTCCTTTTTTCTTTTTTTTAATAATGCAGGTTAATAAAAGGATTGAGTCCATAGATATGAAAATAGCAGAGTTAGATGAAATATTAGTAAATTATAAAGATCATCTGGAAGAAATGAGAGAGGATCCAGCAAGAGTGAGTTTTTCAACCCTTTTGCAAGTAAAAAGAAATATGTGAAATTGATTCAAGATTATTTAATTATATGATTTTTTTCTTTTGTAGATTTGTATTGAAATCGCAGAGTCGAGTGTACAAAAAAGAAAAAAACTGTAAGTACTTTTTTTCCCCAATTTTCAGATACAATGATCTGTCAACAACCTGTTTTTATATTTCATACTGAATTTTACCTAACAAATGTTTTTATGTTTGCCATTTTTCAATGTAAAAATAAGCTGGATGCATATGTGAGGTTTTGGAGACTACGAAACCTGTCCGGTATTTATATATGGAGTAGATAAAAATGTAAACTATATGTCATAGAGCTGTTTTTATCTCCTCTTAAGTGTGGAAACTCTTATATCATATCATGGAAACTCTTATATCATACTCTTATATCATATCTCCTCTTAAGTGTGGAAACTCTTATATATATATATCCTACTCTTAAGTGTGGAAAATCTTATATCAGACTTTGTATAATTGCAATCTTACTTTTTTTATTTTCAGCCACTTATTTACTTTATTTCAAAAAAGAATTACGTTTTTCATATCTCAAAAGCGCGACTTAAAACATATATTAGATTTATATATAGCATTATTCTAACATAGGCATTTTGACACAAATTCGGACTTTTTCCGAAAGAAACATATCATTTTTTTTCATTTCGATTCTACGAAACAAATTATGTTTAGATGTTAAATTTTGTAATTTTTGGTGAGAAATTGAAAAATTTATCTTGGCGCATTTCTTTTGAGTTTGGCCAAGAATAATTCACTTGGCGGAATTCTTAATTTATATTAACCTACTTACTTTCCTTATTTTTCATTGATGCACGAGAGGAAAAAGGTCCATCGTTCATTCTTTCAAATAAGTGTAACAAAGTGCGTGAACCACATTTTCGTTATTATCGCTTATATAAAATACGCCAAATTTCAAAACGCACCAAAATGTAAATTTACATATATCTTAGGAAATATTGAATAAAAAATTCTGAGTTTTTGCTGATATGCTTAGAAATACATCTACTTTAAGATGATGTTAAAATTTTTGTAGGTTATAATACAAACTTTTTTCGAAAAATTTATAAAAAGTATTCAAAAATACAAATTTTTAAAAGATATAATAAAAATGTACGAATTATATTTGGATTAAGCCTAAATTCGAATTCTGGAAGAAGGAATCAAGTTAGTTTAATAAAAAAAAGAGATATTAATAAATATGTATCTAGTTCAATTAAACATTGAGGAGCTAAAATTTTTAGAACTAATTTTTATAAAAGTACTCGTGAGATTTTTACAAAACTTGGCAGTTTCGCATAATTTGAGTCGCGGAATCGAAATACGAAAAAAAATTGGCATATCATTTCAGAAAAAGTCCTATTTTGTGTCAAAATACCTATATTAAAACCATGCTATATATCAGGGGTCGTCAAACTTCATAACGACAGGAGCCGCATAGTAGATTTCATGAATGTTCGAGAACCGCAAATACATATTTATACCGTTTCAAAAATAATAAGACATGTATTCAATGGAAAGAAACTTTTGAAGTAAATTAATGAGAATTTCGCATTTTTTATGTAATTAAACATGGTTACATATAAATGCAAATACATGTTTTGTTTTCTGCTGGCCTGTATTCAGTAAAGTAAGTCCCAATAAAATATAAATTTGAAATTACTGTATTATGTAGTACTGTTCAGACAGGAAAAGGTAAACATTTTCTTTTTGTTTCCTTTATCCTCCTCCTTTTATAATTGCCGTTTGATTTTAGTAGAAATAAGCTAAAATCCGAAAAATATAAATTGGTCTTTAAGAATACAGTTATGTAAAACATTTTTCATTTGAGTGAATTATAAATAATTAATTAAAAAAGTGTTTTTTTAAAAAAGTGATTAATAAAGAAACGTGACCATGCCTGCTATATATAAATCTAATAAATACCCTAAGTCGCCCTTTTGAGACCCGAAAAAAGCAAGTTGAAATTTGTCAAACGGGAGATATAGAAATGTCCCATTTTTTTAGGGGGGGGGGCTAGTGTACATGCATACATACAATTCTAAATCCAGTCCACCGGTAATTCTAAATTCATATATTACGTTCCTCAGATTAAATTGATTCCTAAAATAAATAAGTGAAATTTTGAAACAATCCTGTGTAATTACCTTTTTGAAATCTTAACTTTTTGATCACCATTGTATTTAGGTATAACATGGAAGTACGTTATGGGAAATTTTTAAAGCATGTAGAATTTTAATATTATTACGGATTTTGTATTTAGTTAGCTATTTTTAGTAGAACTGTAATTAAAATTGTTTTATATCCAATCACAGTGCAGCAGGAGACTTTTAAGAGAAAGCTACGTTGGAAAAGTAAAAATACAGAAGCACGCGCATTTAACAATGAATAATTAGATATCTCGTAATTCTATTCTTTTGCTTTCCAGAAATCTCGAGAAAACGGAAATTACCAGAAGCTTCTCGTGACTGATTAAAAGGCTTTAAAAAGCTGGAGAGAAACATCTCAGTTCAGTTGTCTACTGACTGTTGTTATTGATTGTAGCGAATTCGCGGTGAGATCGGATTAGCTTTCCTTGCGCTTTGGATTGCGTACTATTTAACGTTTTATTAGTTTAAAATATAACTACTGTGTGATATTGTACGAATATCTTTGAGGGAAAAAATCTAGCATTTTATTACAATACTTGTGATAAGAATAAATTTTATTAACCTTTTATCAGACTTGTGCATTCAATCTATTACGAAACCGTATGCACGCAGCAATATTTTTATATACAGTTCATTGTGAAACTCTTATCATATGTTATATGGTTACTGTACACTGTGGATATAAATACCTCCACATGTAAAATTAAAAATATATTGATATTTTATTCTTAACAATTTTATTACATTTAAATTCCTCTTAATAGATACGAGATGGAGAAGGATCGTCTGGCTGATCAGTCTTTTCGTTTGGAGAAAATAAAATCTCTTGTGCAGAGATTTAATGCTATTGTGAGTATTATTCTTTAATGTCTGTTAGGCTTAGTGATATTTATTAATGATCTGTCGTAACGAAGGAACTAAACTGAAATTATAATAATAATAACAATAAAATACATCTGTGACAAGTTTTCGACCTTACGGCCTTGGTTCTAGTGTAGAATTGGGTGCCCCTTCGATTAGCGATAATTTTTGTAAAATTTTGGCGATGAAATCTTATTTCTGGTTACCATGATAGTGTAACTTTGCCTCCTGATTTTTTTAAATAAAAATAGATTGATGTGTACATGGACAAATTTAAACAGTGCGCAATGCCTAGTTTGTGCAATTCTGGGATTTTTTTTAAGTGAAAATAGATCGATGTGTACATGGACACAGAGTTTATGCAATTGTTTGACTTTTTATTTTGGTTCTGCGTAGCGGCCATCTTAAAATTGTGTCTTCCTGGCGCCGATCTTGGCGTCAAAAAAGAATCGCCAAAAAACAAGGGGCACCCAATTGTAAACTTTTACCACGGTCTTTACTTCCATAAATCTCCTATTCCCTAGGGTCACCTATTAGTTCGTACAATACTCCGGAAGTTAAATTTTCCGAAAAACTACAATGAAGATATACGTCGGGTAAGTAATTTCTTGGACGGAAAAGCAGTTTTCTTAAGTTTTAGCAGTAGTTAGATGAGGTATAATGCTTATATGGCATAAATGTACTTTAGAGTAAGTCCTAGGAAGTAGCACGTGATCACTATACACTAACCAAAGTACAAAATCATGATAAAATAGAGATGCAAATAAATGTAGTAAAAATGCAGAAATCATCGTAAAAATAAAATAATGCTTTAAAATATTTGGGTAAACAGTAAAGATGAAACTGAAATTATATATCTATGTCGTAACACAATTAAGAGGCAATCGGCCTAGTGCGGCCTTTACCAATATACACTCATGTCCAAAATTATCTTTACATACCCAAAAATGATGATATTCAATGAAATATCGAATTAATGTGATCCGTATTTGCAGGGAATGTGTGAAAACCAAGCTTAATTAGCATTATCCAATCAAAAGTAATCAAACGGTTTGTGATATGCAAATCTAGGCGTTACGTCATCCAAGGGTGAATCAAGCGCTTTGCGCAAACTGAATATTTGAGTGAATTTCTGCAACATAGCGTTTGATTTCAGTGTGTAGGGACTCAAAGCGGTTTGTTATGGCTTCGAAGTATCATTTGGAAGAATCTGTAAAGTGGCGAATTATCGGCCGTTTAAAAGCAGGGCAGTCAATCATGGAAACAGCCACATGTTTGAATATTTCAAGACAGACAGTCTCTAAGCTATGGAAACAGTTTCAAAATGATGGAAGTGTTGCAAGAAGGCCTGGACAAGGTCGGAAACGAATGACAACTTCTTCTGAAGATCGGTATCTGGCATTAACTGCCCGTCGTAACAGAAAGGCTATTGCTCGCCAGTTAAATTCAGAGCTTGCAGCCGCCACTGGAACTCTTGCATCACGGCAAACAATATACAGAAGGCTTAATGAAAAAGGCCTGTATGCCAGAAAGCCAAGGGTATGTGTTTTTACTGTCTTCACAGAAAAAGAGGGATCGCTTTAATTGGTGTAAAGAACATCAAAACTGGACTGAACTTCAATGGTCCCATGTTCTCTTTACTGATGAGTCGTGGTTTAGTTTAACTGGTGATTCTAAACGTGTTTACATCTGGAGGGAGTCAGGAACACGAAATGATCCCTCGAACATTGTGGAACATGACCGTTTCGGTAGTGGAGGTGTCATGGTATGGGGTGGAATAATGATTGATGGACGTACGCCCCTACACGTGTTCAGCAGCGGATCTGTGACAGGCCAGATATATCGAGATGAGGTCTTAGATCCTTATGTAAGACTTTTCAGGGGTGCATATGGACCTGACTTTTTATTTATGGATGATAATGCCCGTCCACATCGAGAAAACCTCGTTGATGAATTCCTTGAAAGTGAAGACATTAAGCGAATACCTCGGCCACCAAACTCTCCTGACCTTAACCCGATAGAGAACTTATGGGACTACCTTGGAAGAGCAATTGCATGTATACATCCTCCTCCTAGAGATGTAAATGCTCTGAAGACGGCATTGCTGGAAGAGTGGAGATTAATTCCCCAAACTGTGGTTAACAACGTTATTTCCAGCCTTAAAACACGTTGTGATATGTGTGTACAAGTCAGGGGAAATCATATTCCATATTAAATTCGTAAGACTTAATTCTTTTTCTGAATCATTCCTTTTTTTCTTAACTCTCTTTGTCACACTTTATTACCATTTTTATTGTTTCATGCTACAATTTTATATCATATGAGGTGATCTTCAATTTTTTTTCTTTTGCATTTATGTGTCATCATGTTATGTATGATTCCACGAAAATTCATTAAATTATAAGTCATAGTCTCTGAGAAATCCGTGAATTTATGCATGTAAACATAATTTTGGACATGAGTGTATTATAAGTAGGGTGTCTTTAATGATTTATTAAAATCCTGACACCATTAATATCTGCCATCGTATTTAACCTATATTCCATTTTAGTTGATTAAATGTGGCAAAACATTTATCGTAATTGATAAGTAATCAATAAAACAATTCGACAAAATAACTGATGATCTGTGGTCATGTTTAATCCATCATAATTGAAATTAGTTGAAACAGTGGATACAAATTCAGCATTGCATATTGTTGTTTCAAAGCAAATTAGAAATCAATGAAAATCTGTGGTTTTATTTTTATTTCCTCCATAACTTTTGATATTAGAATCTTGAGTTGTTCGTTTCAGATTGAGCCCACATTCCTTCAAAATTTTCCTGCTATTATACTGTTTCTTTCTTTTTGTATTTGCGCATGCGTATATATTAGATTGATAGTGACAAGCAAAAATTTCACCAATCAAAATCAAAGAAACAGGAGATTATTAAATTATTAGATTATTAGATTATTATTAGATTATATTATATTATTAGATTATTATTAAAAAATATTGAATATTGGTAAAAGCGCAGTTTGAAGAAGCGGGTATTCACTCAGGTAGAGAAAATATATATGCAATATAGATAAAATATGTGAATGCCACGCATGTGCACTCAGATGGTCTTCGGCCGCCTTCGCTACCGATTAATTTGGTCAGTTCCATAGACTGCCCGTAGCAAGCGATTGAACTTTTTTGGGAAAAAAGGTGGACGTCGACCTTTCCCAGCACCCAGAAAAGAATTATAGAAAGTTTGGTGACGATAGCTATAGTAGTGACTGAGTGTATCATGAACAAACAAACAGACATTCTTCTTTATATATAGAGAGAGAGATGTATGAAAGGGTATTGCTAATCTTTCAGTAGAGCCTTGAATACTCCAATATAGCCTTGAAATTAGCTTGCTTATAGTTTCTCAAGGCTATTAGAGTTAAATCTCTTGCTCTAGCAGTTATAAATTTTGATCACATGACTAACAAAATACGTAGTATTTTATGTTAATAACAATTGCCAGGAGTTGTATCAAGATTTATTGTCACATTGAAATAGTTAATGAACGCAGTTTTTTTTAAACTTTGGAGCAAATCTTATTTCAGACTTTTCTTGTACAGACTGTGCAATTATGTGAGTTTAGGAGTGGTAATTTTTTTTCAATCTATATTACAGACTGATGCCATGAATATGACAGTAAAAGAATTGAAAAGACTGTCCAGAAAAGTAAAGACTAATGAAAATGATACTGAGGTAAGAAATTTATATTGTGCTATTCCGTAACATGAACAAAAAAATATGATATGACCAGCAAATGACCAATTCCATGTTAAGACGTAGAATTGGTGGAATAGCAACGAGCTTTAAGTAAACTATCAACTTCTGGTTGATGGTTTTGAAGTAAAATCTAATTGGCTTATAAACCCTATGGTTCAATGTTAATTATAAACATCACTCATTTTTTAGTATTCCATTCTCTCATACGATGGATATTTGTAACTGTACGGGCTCATGTACACATCAGTTGACACACTTAAAAATATCCCGTCGATCGTGGTATATCCTCTGGTCATCGCATTCACAAATCAATCGCCTAACAAACACAAAATTTTTAAACGCAGCATATCTATAGAATTTAACGAGCTCACAATTTATTGGTCCGTCTTATTTTTCAAGTTAAATAATACCGGTACATAGAAAGGTCTGAAAAAAAACCATTTTTTATTTTAGTCAGCCACATAGATGCACAGAATCCGTTATAAGTTATCAAACATGTTGTGGTTTACGACATATGCTTGGAATACGATTCGAGTTCGATGAGTCACGTTGCACACACCACCCTTGTTTACATTCTTCGAGACACTACTACAGTCTGTCTACCACTAGAGCTGTCATGTCATCGGGAATAGTATATGCAATTAGAGTGAACCAAATCATTTTTTTTTGACGAATGCTGGCAGCGAGAAAATGTTTATTATTCGGCTAATAGCTCTCGTAAACCTCATAACTATTTAGTAGTAAGTTCGAATGAATAAGTAGAAATTTGAAAACAATTATTTGAAGAAATATTATTCAACCACGCAACTCCAATAATTAATATAAAATTCTAATAAAAATATCTAAAAGTGAAAACATTTTTATGATTTTTAAGTAAAAAGTAAAGTTTTGTTTTATGTGATAAAGTAAAAATATCTCCAAGAAAGAAAAAACTGTATGCTTTTTCCGACTATGCAAAATAGATGGGAAAATGAAAAGGTTAACATAAAATGAAAGGTTATGTCGGCAAGTGAAAAACTCTTAGGAGAAAGTAAAATATCTGATGTGGGCACCCCACGACTTCATTGAAAGATCTAGGAAAGTACACACATATATATACATATATTTTTTTTTCTGCACTTCATTTAAACTTATTTTCTGGAATTCCATTAGAGATGCATTTCTCATTCAATCGATTCGTGTCTACGCAAAAAATAAATAATAACTCAAAACATCTTCATTCAAACTTGTAAAATACAAAAAAAAAAAAAAAAAATTAAATACAGCTAAAAAAAGAGTTTTTGCAAAATAACGTATGTTAAATATATACAATCTAAAATATACTATAAGTCGCGCGTTCAAGACATACAGTGTCTCACAAAAGTGATGGGACACTTGTGCTTTACAAAAGGAAACTGTGGTAAAATAAATTAAAAAAAACATGTAAAAATTTTTTGTGAATGTCTTTCATACTTAAATTTAGTAACAATTATTACATAACATACATTTTCTCAAAATATTAAAATATTCATTTAATAAAAATACAATTGTTTAGAACGAAGCAAAAAATGGCTCGCATAAGTGATGGGACACTTACTTTTCCATCAAATATTTATCCAAAAAATTTACTTTTTAAAAGGTTTTAATATTTTGTTTTATTTCCTTTTACTTTTAAAACATGATTTAATCTTCTTGAGATGGACTAATTTTTTTTTTGTGATTTCTGGAGTGATCTTACCCCATTCTTCCTGAAGCACCGATTTTAATTGTTGTTTTGAAGAAATGGTGTGTTTGCGAATTCTTGATTCCAATTCTTGCCAAATATTCTCATTTAAGTCTGGAGATTGTGATGGGGTTTTTATTATTTCAGGACAGTTATACAGCAGTCTGTGTCTGACGTTCAAAGCAGTGTGCTTTTTTTATACCATTGTCCTGGGAGAATTTAAAATCGTTATGAAGGTTCAATTTTCGTGCTGAAGATTTCAAATTTTGATTTAAAATGTCAATATACTTGTACTGATCCATTATACTGTCGATAAAAACAAGATTACCAACTCCAGCGGACGACATACACCCCCATACCATAACTCCTCCTCCACCATGTTTTACTGTTGGCACCAAGTTCTGTTTGCGAAATTCTTCCCTGGGTTTTCTCCACACCAAGATTCTACCGTCAGAACCAAATATATTAAATTTACTCTCATCAGCAAATATAACTTCATTCCAGTAATCAGAATTCTTAATGTTGGATTTTGCGAAAGCCAGTGTGAGTTTTCTATTCTTTTCACTTACGAAGAATTTTTTCCTGGCTGCTCTACCGTGATATCCAGTAGATCGAATTACTCTTCTAATAGTGTCAGCATTAGCAATTACTCCATATAATGCTTGTAAATCAGCAGTAACTTAAGGAGCACTTATTCTTGGATTTTTTTAATATTTCGAACGATAATTCGCTTTATTCCATTGGATAGTTTTGATGGTCGGCCAGGTCTTCTTTTATCCTGGATCATATGATTCTTTTTATATCGTTTAATGATATTGAAAACTGTTGAATGACTCAAGTTAACTGTTTCAGCAGTTTCTCTAATAGATTTCCACGTTCAATATCCAAATTAATAACTAATTTTCGAATTTCAGGAAAAGTTTCTTTTTGTTTAGCATTCATGGCTGTACAGAGCTAAAAAACACAAAAATTCCGAAACAAACTGGAGAGAAATACTGCAGACGATTTTATAAATTATTGCCAATTGCTTTTGAGTAAAAATAAAAACCCCAAAAAAATTTTTTATAGTAGTACGTAGTAGTATCTAATGGTGTCTCAGCACTTATGTGAGCCATTTTTTGCTCCGTTCTAAACAAAATGTTATGTATTTTACTAAATTTGTATAAAAAATTTTTTAATTTATTTTATTACAGTTTCCTTTTGTAAAACACAAGTGTCCCATCACTTTTGTGAGACACTGTAGTTCAGTTTCGTCATTCGACCGAGTAGAACGAGAGATATAGACCCCGCCCCCCTTTTGATTTGATGTACTTATCCTAGCAAGTTTTATTTTCTGTTCTGTGTCTTCTCAAAATTATCCCGTTCAGAGCAAAAAATGTCGTTGTTTTAGAAAAAAATATTTTGGTTTACCTAGTTACAGCAGAGAAAGCAGTCTATGTATCTTATGGGGAAAACAGAAACAAATGTTCAAGTAAATTTAACCCATGAGAATTCTAAAGTAAAGCCCGCTTAAAGCTCTCAAATGTAAACTGTCTTTCACTATTGATAATAGGGAGAAAGCCAACAATAGCTGCCAAAAGTTTTCCCTTGAACTCAAAAAATCTAGTTGTACTTAAATGTATTAATAAATTTCCATTTTAGTGGGAGCTGATGAAAGTAGAAGTCACAGTAAATACAAAATAATAGGATAATTGTTTAGCAAAAATAAAACACTACAATCGCTATCATACAACTTAAATAATTTGAAAATGAAGTTCTTAAGTACTTAAGTACAGAATTTTTATAACTATAAAATTCAGATTGAGCCAAAAGTTTCACAAAGCTTTTACATCTATGATTAAAAAAAAAAAAAAGAAATTTTACATCATAATGTTTTTAGGATTAACTGTGAAATTTGAGTCGACTGTATTTCCTAATTAGTTAATTAATCGCATTATTTTAACTTAATTAAACTAAATTATTTCACTTAAATGGGCTGCATTTTCGTTTATATATTTAGAAAAAGTTATTTAATTACTTAAAAATATAACTCTAATGTATAAAAACAATTAGGTAAAATATATTTATTTATTGTGCTAGGAAAAAGTTCTTATTTATTACGCTTGTGAAAAAGAATTATCTGTGTTTTTCTGAGTGTTGATTCATTGATTAATTACTTTATTTCTTAAACTAACATTTCCATTTATTTTCTTTCGTTTCTTTCTTCATTTTCGTTTTTATAACATTTCATTAAAAATACATTCTCATTAGAAAAGTCACATTATCCTATAATTTTGTAAACATGATTGCATACATTTTCAAATTTAATATGTTCCTAATCACTAGCATTCAAATATAACCGTTTCAGTTTATACCGCTACGTTTAGTTTACAATATTTTATTTTAAAAATATACTACCTACTTATAATTTTATATACACTGACTATTATTTTATTATTAAAGCCGATTATTAGCGGCAAATAGTTAACATTGTGTAAGGGAAGGCTTAGACAGGAATGTATGTTAGCAGTTTTCACTTACCTTCGCATTTATAACATAACAAAATCTGATGTATAGACCACATGACTTCCTTATACGGAATATTAAATTATATGGATTTTTTCTTGCATTTCTTGCAAAGCAAAAGAGTAGAATTACGGTTACAGCTAACATAGTAGTCAATTACGTTTACTCAAATTAAATATAATTTTCCGAGATAAACTTTATTCAATATTAAATGCACGTGTTCTTATATTTTTACGTTTTCGGCATAGCTTTCTCTTAAAACTCGTCTCGCGCTGCAGTGCACGGGAAAATAAAACTATTTTAATAATAATTTTACTAACATTAGATTTTAAATACAAAATTCGTAACAGTATAAACTCAGATCGTTAAACAACAATCAAACCAAACTACAGGAATTTTATTACTGTTTTATTTGAAAATACAGGGTGTCCCACACGAAAAGGAGCCAGGAAAAGTGTGATATAAATTTTATAACAACAGGAAATGACGCCAAATTTTTACATGACATGTTTCTTTATGTTTGGGAAATGAGAATGCATTATAAGAAGTGCTATAATTGATCTCCTCCCATCTGTACATACAGTTCAACATGCATGGTTACCGCCCATTGTGTGTGTAATGGGTATCCTTGCCTTGATTTCACAGCGGATGTTCTGACGTAATTCTTCGATAGTCCTTGGTTTATGCTTGTACGCATTACTTTATAAGATATTTCTCCCGCCTTGTTAGTATGCCTTAGTAGTGTAGTGGTCAGCACACTCGACACGAA